CTTTACAAAAATTTTCTCCGAGGCACCGTTAACGAGTTGTTAACGAAAAACAGTGACCAATGAGAGGCGAGCTCAGCTGGCGCGAGGCGATCGAGCCAATGAGCGGAACTGGGCTTCGCGCGCTGGTTGGCTGGGTCGCCTCGCGTCAGCCGTACTCGATTCTTATTGGTCACTGTTTTTCGTTAATAACTCGTTAACGGTGCCTCGGAGAACATTTTTGTAAAGGAAGAAGTTGCTTCAAATGATCCGAGGAACCAGCCATTTCCGGATTGCGAGACATTTTTGGGACACCCTGTAGACTGTTGTAAATCGATGCGAAGACAAAAGAAGTGTGAAACAATGCATATGAAGACGATTATTTGGTTCAAACGATGAGCGAGTGAGCTACTAGAGCAAGTCACTATAGTGGCGTGTCGTTCTGAAAGATGACATCCGCGAAAGCCACTATAGTGGCGTGTCGTTCTGAAAGATGATATCCGCGGAAACCACTATAGTGGCGTGTCGGGCCTAAAAGGTTAATAGTTTTGTTGTAAGTGGAGTATGAAGAGATATGAAGGTCAATCCAATTTTCTTGAAGTGGAAGGCTAGGTTTTTCTCTTTAGAATTTAACAAGAGACACTGAGAAAAATACAAAGAGGTGCTATTCGATATCATTTTGAGTTCAATAAAGGTAAATCATAGGCTTATGTTTACATCCTGTATTGGTCGACGACGAACATCCAGCAGCCGCTGTTGAGCAGCGTCGGTTGCGTTTGTATGAAATTACTATAATTATGATATTATGAACAGGTATTATTGCTAATGCCATAAATTATCGATTGTAATTTTTACGTACTAGTTGAATAATTTTGTATTCTTCCACGTGTCCACCATCATTGAAAATACAGGTCGCCTCTTCAAGTGGTCTTTCAGACCACAGTAGAAAATATAAATGATTTAAGAACAAGAATTACAACCGCGTGCAACTCAATATCGGATGAAATGTTAAAAACGGTCGAGACGCAATTGTTAAAACGATTACAAATTTGTATTTTTAATGATGGTGGACATGCAGGAGGATAACAAATTATTCAACTGGTAAATGAAAATTACAATCGATAATTTATGGCATTAGCAATAATCCTCAATTACTGTTTATAATATAGCAGAATTGCAGTAAGTTGCAGAATTGCAGTAAGTTGATACAAACGCAACCGACGCTGCTCAGTATGGACTGCTAGATGTTGGTCGTCGACCAATGCAGGATGCAAACATAAGCTAACGATTTACCTTGATCGAACTCGGAACAATGTCATATAGCATCTCTTTGGATTTCTCTCAGTACCTGCTGTTATTTTCTGAAGAGAAAAATATAGTCTTCCATCTAAGAAAATTAGATTGGCCTTCAGATCTCCTATACTACTCCACCCACAATAAAACAATTAATATTACGTGATGTAGCCCGTCCTACCAAACAACTTTTGTAGGAACATTTTTTTAATAATTATAACTCTTTCCGACGTATCCTGCTGTACTCACTTAAACAGAAGACACCTTGTATACTCCGACTTTCTGTAATAATATGAGATAGAATTCTGGCATTGCATTTCATAAAATGAATATTTTGTTCTCAATATTTCATGATTTGCTTGGCTTCAATTTTTAAATTAAATCGATTAAATCAATTAAATTAAATTACATTAATGTATAAACATTTTCAATAGAATTGGTATCGTTATTTTCATAAATTCATTACGAGATAAAATGAAATTAAAAACATAGATAGAAAAAACCGTTTAAATTGCATGAAGATTTTTAGTAGCGCGTACAAGATGGGGCAGTTTTGCAGACATTACGAAGGAAGTAATGAAACGAAATGGTAATAAAACTGGTCTATAAAATTTCAAGGAATACCGAAAAGTATTTGTGGACTCAGGGTACGCTACGTGATTTTCTCGGTGTAATCGTGTAATTAAGATTGGTTTCTGGCGTGTTAGCGGAGAGACGAGGATAGATAAACGGAAGACAGTGGATAGAAGATAAGGTAATGCCGTTGGCAGAAAAGCAAAAGTTCTCATCTAGGAGAGCCAGAGTGGAGCAGCAAGTGGTCGTATTCTCAGGGCTGGGGCAAGTTCCAAAGGACCGGCGAAGTTCTTCGATCCGCCGAAACTCCGGAGGAGTTACTGGAGTGTCCTCTGGGTCAGCCTGTTACCAGCTCGTGGACTTTGTCGCAACACAATTTTCCCATGGAATTTTCGATGCGCATGATAACATCGGTGTTTACCGTGACTTCGGAGCATGTCGTCGAGTTCTCCTCTGGTTCTTGAAATGACGAATCTGTTGACTCTACAATTTTCGAGACACATCCTCTCGACATTCGCTTGGAGACAATTTTCAGCGGAGTTGGTTTCGAATATTTTTAATCTCAGCCGAATGATCGAAATGCAGTAAATTCTTCCTAATTGATGCTCAGCTTGGAAGCAAAAATGGACAATTCGAGAAGAGGAGGTACAATTCTTGAGGCTCTTTATTTATTTAACCCTAGAAAGATAACCATATGACAACGTACGTAAAAGATAACCATACGCTTCAGAGGCGCATGCTTTTCTAAGGCGTCAATTTTATACTAACAATGGATATTTATTTAAGTTAATCTAGTCATTTTAAAGGTTTGGCATTATTGTAAAAATAAAATGCATTTATATTATATTCTTTTATATTTTAAGTAATTTTAAACTTAAATCACTAGACCTCTATGAAAAATTAACAAAAATCAACAGTCTTCGGTTTATGGGAACAAATCCCGTAAAATATCACAAAAAATAGTGTTTTATCCTTACAAACTAGTAGACT